TTTCACCCAAATAAAAAAAAAAAGACCATCTCTGGTACTACCTGACCGGTACTATTCCAACTGTAGTGCTCAACCTGAGCATACTCTGGGAAAGCTTCACCTATAATCAGCTTCACACGGAGTTCATATAAAATGTGTGTTGCCTGGGCCCTTAAGAGCATTTCCCCTGCTCCCCTCCCCCCATAAATATAGCTTGTTTCATTTCAGGTGAAATTTCAAATACAGAAATAACCTTTGAGAGAAACCAAAATCAGGGCTACTTTGACTGAGTAGTTCAGTCCAATGAAACCATCAATAAAAATACTGATGTGAAGAAACAGGCTGGTTTGATGAAAGACTGTAATAACTTTGGATAAACATTTACAACTTCAGATAAAAAGTGATTAAAATAATAAGTAAATATTCTTTAACTGCAGATGACAGCAGCATTACAGTTAATATTTAATCATGGCATTGTGAGAATATTCAGTAGTGGAAGAAAGGATTAACATATTGCTTTAAAACATTCCATTACTTTCTGCATCTGTTTACTGATAATAAAAGAAACAGCTGTTCTAAATGTAACATTAACAGGTGTAAACCATTCATTTGAGATTTTAAAACAATAATTCTCCTCTGTTTCCTCCTTAGCTATTCCAAAATGACATTACAAACACCCCTCATATTAGCTTACACAATTAACTCGTAATTGTTTAACCTCTCTGCATGTCCCCAAAACGTATACATGTGGAGTTAGCTTCCTTCTCCTTTTGGGCAAAAGGCTCTGTTCTCCTGCACTGCACATCCTGAACTAATGCACCAGATGTGTCCCATAAAATGGTTGGTCACACTATTCAGCAGCTTTCCTTTAGCAACTGTTCTATATCAAATTTACTGTAAAAAAGCATCATAATTATGAAGTAACACTGTATCAAATTCACAGACTGAATATCTCACTATGTTTGGTTAAACTATGAATGATAATTGAGCTTGAAATTGTATATTTACTTTAAATAAGTCCTCCAAATCATCTGCAACAATGTGTGCTTAATTCGAAGCCATTAACAAAAGATTTAACATTTCCACATTTATACTCTCCATAATTTCAGATATGATACTCCATACTTACAGAGAGGGAGAGCGGGGAAAAAAATAAAAGCAAGATCTGGTAGCCTTCCATTTGCAAAATTAAATGTATGTACCTGAAGTTTCTTGTAATTGCTAACCCATCTTGTTAAATGCTGGGTACAAATGAAACAAAATTCTCAAGAATCCTTCAATATTCTGTTCTAGAAAATAAATTCAGAATTATAAGTTTATTTAACAAAAGAAACCAAACCTCAATAGAAAACCAAAATCTTACCTGCTTTACAGAAGATAAAACAAACCCAGAAGACCAATTATTACAACCCTTTCAAAAACCTAGAAAGTTGTTTGGGGAAGGCAACTTTAATGAAAGTAATACCAGTAAGTTTGCAGGGGGAAAAAACCAGAATTGGATCCTTGAGACTAGGGAATGTTTGCTTGTATAACTGTATAAAGTGCTTGGGAATATTCATTCTATTGATCGATATTTTAAATATTAAATATCATTATATGGAAACAGAGGAGAATTCATTCTAACCTTCATACAAACACTGGCTAATTGAAATGGAAAGTTCATTAATAAGATTCCTGCTACATTCCAAAAAGACAGATGTAGATAGAAGATGTTACCTCCATTTCCTGTTTATACCCATACTTACATGCAAGGAAAAATAGTTTATTCTTAACGAGATTTTTATCTTTATAAATTGATATTCAGTGGTTTCCCATTAAAGGAATGTGCAGCTTCTCAGGATTTGGGTACAGGGACACCTGAGCTGCAAACACACTACCAGAACCAAACCTGCCCCAACCAAGCATACAAATGATGGATCCTCCGAAAAATGCAAAGCTACGTACAACCAAAAGGCTTTGGACGTTTTCCTACGAGATCATGCTTCAGTCTGCAAAGCTCCTGACTCTCCCCTAGGGAACCCTGCTACCTGCACTAGGTGTACCTTTGGGCAAGCATGCACACCACGAGGAGCAAGGTAAGCAATAACGCTTTGACCTGCTGAGGACGCGAAGGAAGGAAAGAATGATGCACATCCATTGAGCCCCAGACCTCAATTTAAGTCCAAATTGTACAAAACCGAAATGCCAGCAGAGGGCAGCGCAAATACGAGAAGCATCTGGAATGCCCCAGCCCGGCCACTCGTGGGAAACAGCTGCGTGGGTGCAGCGTGGGGGACAGGGAGGTGGCTGCCACTCCTGGCCGCTGGGACACGCACCCACCACGCCCTGCTCCGCAGCTCTTCCTCCGTGGCAAGAGGTCAATATCCAACTCCACCCAACCTTGCACATCTCAGGTTTTCTTCTTCCTTTTAAACAAACTGCCCACGGAGCTGGGGATGGACTGACTGCAGGCAAAGGCAGCCTTTGTGTGCATCCCTGAGAGCCTTGTGGGGTTCACCGTGTAGCACCCCGTGCTGAGACAATGGCAGAAGCTGATGTGCCTTTCTTCTCCAGAACTGCTACCTCAGGCACACCATTTAACTTCTTCAAAGTTGTAGACCTAGAACTGGGGTACTTCTATTGTTTAAACAAAGAAGATAAAATGGATTCATCACTAGAGGCATCAGTGAGAACACCTCTAGAAACAGAAAGTAATAGTTCTTTATGTTCACACCAGATAAAGCAAGGAGAGACCTCCACCCTGTCCTATCTAAAGCCATCTCCCATCAGCAGAACACCAGGAGAACTCCCAATTTCAGCCTGCAGTCCTAGCCATAAGCACTGTGGTGGGGAGACACCCAGACTTACAACTCCCAGGCTGTGCTCCAGCACTCACTGCTGGCACCCAGCCACACAACACCCCCCAATATCCCCAAGAGACAGAAAACAAACTGTACACGTACCTAAGGAAGAAATCCAGAGCAGCTCTCTGAGGTGTAAGTCCAGCAAACACAGTCAGGAAAGGAGGGAAGACACAGCTCTCAATTGCCTAACCTGGTGCACCTGCACTGAAAATCCTGATGCTAAAATGCTTTTGCTTCCAAAGCAACTAAACCTACCCTGGCTGGCACCTGTGAATACCATTTGCCAATCAGGTTTTGTCCTCAGCCTGAATACCTATTAAAACTTGTCTGTTTGATGTAGACTCAAGTGTTACCAAAGATATTAGCACTGGCTTCAGTACAATTAGGATATAGCTATTTTACATTTTGGAAAAGAACAAGCAATTATTAATCTCATTAAATACTGTACATTATACTCCAAACTGACTAAAAGTGTTGCATACACCAATTTCCAACAACCTTAGTCAGGAGATAAACTTCCATTCTGAAGCTTGCTTCTGGCTTTTCTTACTGTAATGGCACCTCTCTAAACTCTCAGAATTTGTATTCCAACAAGAATAAAAATAAACAAACTATAACCTTCTGTATCCCGTGCAAGGCTGGGATCCTGTTTCCCCATCAGAGCCAAGGGTCATGTCTCCTTCCTCCTCTATCTCCATCCACCTTCTCACTTCGATTCTAAAAATTCACATCTTCTGCACTGAGTGACATTTAGAGCCAAGTGTCCAGTTTGCAAGTGACATTCTCATTTTGAGCCTTGCTACCATTAAGCTTGGAAAGATATCATGATTGTGCCCTCTGATCATCCTTGCTCTTTACGAAAAGGACAAACTTACTTTAATAGCATAAAGAAATAATCATAGAATTGTAGAATAGTTTGAGTTGGACTTTTTAAAGATCACCTAGTACCGCTCCCCTGCAGTGAGCAGGGACATCTTCACTAGATTAAGTTGCCTAGAGCCCCATCCAACCGGACCTGACCTTGAGTATATCCACAGATGGGGCATCTACTGCATGCCTGGGTAACCTGTTCTAGTGTTTTACCACCTTCATTGTAATAAAAAACTCTTATACCTAATTCTAGATCGATCCTCCTTCAGTTTAAAACAATTACCTCTTGTTCTGTTGCAACAGGCTCTGTGAAAGAGATAATCATTGCCTTTCAGGTTAGAATTTACATGCTGTGATGTATGACTATGATGTGATTTCTTAAATTAGTTCACCAGTTCAGCATCAGTGATTTACATACTCCAACACTACATTTGCTTCTCTGGTCCAACACTCCTGTCCACAAACTAGCTTGCACTCGGACGTTTCAAAAACCTTCAACCATTTACCCAGCAGCCACAGAAACACTACAAAGCTAGGTCCTACCACCACATTTTCATAGTGTCAAGGTTTGCAAACAACAGCTGGGCATGGACAAGAATTTTCAGGTGATCTTCGAACTTTAAAACCATACTCTTCCAGAGACAAGGCATCTGCTGTGCACAGAAGGCCTAGGGGGGTAGGTTTACAGAAGTAGGCCACTACTTGAAATAGAGAAGTAAACATTGTGTTCTGGTAGAAAGAGAATGAACCAGTTTACCAAAATCAGTAGCTCTCTATATAGCAGACTATGCCCTAGTTATGCCACATTCTGCCTGAGGGAGGACAGTTTATGTTTCCCACCCCCAAACAGTTTGTGTATAGCACTGCACCAATCAACATGCATGGGCACCTGATTTCAGTGCTAACCTGTGCTCCTGTGACTCACATCCCCTTCTGATCTCAAATAACTGGCCAGGATTTGTTGATCTGAAGTTTTTAAACTTTTGTACTGTACTATTAAGAGCCACACTTCTGTAAGTGTAGAATTTTTGGAGATTGGACACTGCCAATACTAATTCACATGAAATAAGAATTTTCAAATAGAAATACAACACCACAGAAGTCTAACTATAATAACTGCATATGGCAATGCCATATTTAAATACTTACAGCTATCTGGCATTCCTTTGAAAATTAACAGCTGATGTCCTTAGTATAATACACTTTGCCATGCTCTTTTGAAAGCAACTTCTAACCACTTCACATCTAAAAAATTCTGACATACTGGTATTTCTTAAACCTGCAGCAATAAGAGAAGGAGGAAACAAGTTGAGAACATTTCTTTAATAAATTCTTTTTTAAAAAATAGTGGTGAGTTGTCTCTCTACAGCATTTATTTCCAGTTTTCAAGTAGCATTTTTATTTAAATAAAGTCTTTAGGAGGTGAACATGGAACAATGAAAAGTCATTTTACAAAAGCTTTGCAAAAAACATACTGAAATTACAGAGTAGTGATCAAAATTAAGCAAGAGAAGTATGACCCCAAACAAAATGTTCCATTTACTGAATAATTTCCATGGAGCTGTGCTTGTCAACTTCTGGAATATCTGTTAAGTGATGAAAAAAAGGACGACCATGAACACAGCCTTTATTTTCCCTTCCAAGCTGTTGCTTCATCCTGTAAATTGTGTTTTGCACATCTTCTTTTGACAAATGTAAGGGCAGCTGCCGAGCTAAACGTACTGCTTCTCCCTGTGGAAAGGAAGAACAAAACCAAAACCCCAATAGTTTTAAAGGACCACTTTTTAGCACATTATCATGGGGCTACCAGAAAGCAGGAATTAAGCACTCACTACTTAAAGGTCAGTCTTTTCTGCTGCTAAATATTCCAAATCTCAGAAATCTAAATATAACTTTAAACATATCTCACTGGTCAGTTCATGACATTTCTACAATGGAGGCATGTACAATCAGCCCCTCGGTTATGTTTGCACTCTTTTAACTTACTTTTGCAAGATGCTTTATGTTTCTTACTTCCTGTTGTCACCAGCATCAGCTGTACATGTTTACCAGTTCACAAGACAAATTTCACACCACAAACTTTAGAAATACCATAAATTAATTCAGCAGTCAGTAAGTAAAATTTGAAAAACACTATAGCAAAACTTCATAGATTCATTTTTTTTACTATGGTCTGCTGTATTCACTTAGAAGGCAGGAAGGACTATTAAAGCACCCACCCTCAAAGAACTAAGGAACTTCAAAAAGAAGTTTTGTTTCCTCCTCCAAGATGGGCTTTCCTGCCACTGCCTTCTCTTCTGGACTTAAGTCATGTTGCCTAGACAGAAATGCATGTGGCACACAACCTCCCTCCTGTATAAACCTGAGCACCATTCATAATAATTTCATCTAAATTATCTCATGCTCTTTGTCTGAGATTTTCTCCCACTCCTCCAAGTGGGAAAAAGATCACTGTGGTCTGTTTTATACCCTGGAAGGCTGCTGCTTCAACCTTTACCCTATTCTTTCTTCTGCATCTATCAACTGACAGCAAAAGCTGCAGACATGCTGCCTGCTCAAACATGAAATGAATGACTGAAGTTGTGATTCTGAACATGACAGTGAATGGCACTTCCAGTGTTTACCTCCCAGAATGGTCAAAGAATTCAGTGCTTATTTCTGAGTAACAACTTTTATAGCTGTCTGGGCTTTTTTACAAACCATTCCTGTCTCAACACTCAACTTACCCCTTCTTTAAGCTTTTTTCCTTAGTGCATGTGAGTGGCTCTACTGTACACAACAGAATCACTTGCTGCAAAGGCAGCTTACTACCCCCAAAAGGGAAAGATTTGTGTAATAATGCTTAAAAGATAAAACACATAACTGTATAAGTATGTGCCTATGTCCCAGTTTGAAGTAACCTGATTCAGGAAGGCATTTTATAAATGCTTAAATAAGAAGAGACTTTACATATATTTTGGTAACCTTTTTGAAGAGAATTGGTATTAAAGAGCATTAGTGAAACAGCTAGACAAGAAGTGATTACTATTACTGTTGGTTACTCCAGTTTTAACTGGTATCACATCTATCAGCTGTCTCTGAAATGTCATGTCGTTACTGTCTCTGGATGGACAATTTATTTATTTGCACAAAAAAATATTAACATGAGTCACTGCCATTCTCTGGCAGTTTTGTATCCTAACATGGAGAAATGCCTTTCTAGTCTGAAAAGTGTCTTACAGAGGAAACACTTTGTGAACATCAGCTTTTGGCATGTGTTATAACACACTGAGTGACTACTTTTGGGTATGTCTGATGAAAGTATTTTGGTAAGGAATACACAACTTGGAGAGGATATGATACTCCCTTTTTCAAGAAAAGAGAACAACTTCTGTTTAGAATACAATGAAATTAATTAAAACACAAAGCTGAAGAAAGATTTTCAAGCTGTTTCAGGAATTATTACAAGTTTAGCTAGCTAGTACTAAAAGAAAGCTTCTGTCTCACCTCCAAGTAATTTATCACTTTGAGAGGCCTACATTCATATACTTCCTTTGCATTTCTGTTAACAACTGCATTCAGAATTTCTTTCAAATCAGAAATCCCATAATATGGCAGACAATTTGCCATCCCTTCTATTTCCAGATGACTTTCTGCAGCCGTAACACCTGAAAATACAAAAACAAAACAGTAGTTCATGCACTGCTTTAGTTTCTATTCTATAGCAATTCAGAGAAAATTAAACTGATGCAAAGTCATTTAGTGCTTTAGTCCAATACAATTAGGAAACTATTTTGTTCCTCCCTTGGAATGAAAAGCATTTATTTGCACAATGGTTCATTATGATGATGTGTGTTTATTCACATCACAAATGTCTCAGCTTACATTAATCCAAATCCTAGCTGGCACTGTTTAATGCTTAAAACATTTGCAGCATTCCCAGTCTTGAGTGCAGCTCAATTTTATGTATGTTTAATTAAAGCTTCTGTGCCTTTAATTAAATATACATAAAATTAAAGTTGAAGCTAGCAATAAAACACGGTTTCATTTGAAAAAAATTAAAACTGTTGGCACTATTTCCTACATAACTGGTTTAAACATCTGTAAAGTTCAAATGTTATCATAACAAATTCAGATTCTACTGAAATAAAAAGCAGTTTTTTCTCCTACCACATCTGAGGAAAAACTCAAACCCATAGAACTAGAGGCTCTATGACTGACTTCATATTATCATTCATATGTTACCACTGCTGGAGCAGGTAACACTCTGAGTAAGAATTATGAATAAAAAATTAAACAGCCTTTCTAACCGAGTATCTATTCAAGCATTAAGGTCAATACTATTTCCCATCTTATTCGCATTACAGGAAAAAAAATTGATTGAAGTTTTTCCTGTACAGCAATTTTTTTTTTCCACTCCCAGTTAGAAGCAAGTTCTCTGGTGGTCAAGCTCACACATTCTCATTCAGTCCTTCAGACTACCTACTCATTCATGTTGGGTGCACAGAAACCTCAGCTCAACCTGCACAGCTACCATCCCTTTTCTTCCACTACAAGTCTAATAAGTCCAAACTTTGACACTGACAGCACATAAAAATTAAATTACTAATGAAAATAAATCCACTCTTGTGTAGTGGCTCCAGGTAGGATAAATTACCTTCAGCTCAAGTCACAAATGGCTTTTGTAAAGTCAAAAGACTTGGAGACAAATAGATAGCTTCAAGGTGGATTAAACTGTCACAAGGGATAATTCCTGTTCCTAATCTAAACAACAATATGAAATATTTCAGAAGTGATGGAAAATATATATGCAACATGAGTCAACAAAAACGTACTTTCATTAGCTAGCAGAATGAAGGTGAGTTATCCATGTCCAGGCACTGTTTATTTGACAGTCATTAAACAAGAGCAGAGATGAACAGGATAACTGTGCAGGTTGAAACTTTTCCTAAATACGGGTGTGTCACTGAGTAAATAATGCTCTTGGGCCTTTTTAAGTTTCACGGCATGAGATACTTTGACCAGTGGGAATTCAATATAGGAAACAGCCCCTCATCCCCCACCCCCCAAAAATCACATAACAGTCCAGCAATGTATTAAACATCTGAAACTTTATTTCATTTTTCACCCAGCTTTGTCTTCCTTCTCTTTTTCAAGCTGCCTTCCCCTAATCGCGGCCAGCAAGCAGAGACATATTTTTATATAATACTGTAAACCTGTGTTAGGATTCAGCTTAAAGCAAAATGTTAAATTATATGAAAGTTTGCCAGATATAAAGGTAAGAAAAGATTATGTACTATGCTAGTATTTCCCCATGGGCAAGCCTGTCAGTAAGGGACAGAAGGAAAAGATAAAGTCTCTTTTTAAAATCTCCTTCAGCTCTTTTCTCTTAATTTTTATCCTACTTTAGATTTAATTACAGATTAGATTTGAGGAATTATTCCAGACCATTTGATTATGCTGCTTTCTCTCTAAAATTAGAACTCAGTCTATTTGAAAACCTTTCAATAATTACCTCTCTATTTGCTACCAAAGACAGGACACAAATTTTTTTAAGTTTCAAGTATTTAGACATTATGTTTAAAAACTTGTATTTCCTGATCCTCCTTTTAGAATTTTATGAACCAGTGAGGCTCTGAATTTGCAAAACATTTTCTCATATACTCTTCAGCTTCACCACTAGCCATTGTTCCATCTGCAAATTTTGACAGCCAGATTTGACTTCACCATTTTTCTCTTTCATCTGAAAGTCAAAGCAAGTTTGAAAGAGTTTAATGTAAGAACAAACAATACAAACCCTGGCTAAGGGAGGTTTATTTCTCTAGTATTTCTGTTTGTGGACATTATCCTTTTCTTTTAACATTCTTTAAACTGCAATGCAGCCCATTTGCATGCTGATTAACAAGTATTTATCTCCAAGTCTCTGCAGGAACTCTGGTATTGGCAACACTTGATGATATAAGCAGATGTCTAGGCCTCAATGTACTTGTAAATTTTTGACAAAATATATATTAAGATTTTTGAGTATTCAAACAGCAGACCTCAAACAGTTGCCATGGTAGCTTCTCTGAAAGACTTTGCAACTTCCAAGGGAAGTATTTCCATGAACAAATAAACTAGCTTTCAAATGAGTAAAAATGTGGATTTCTCATTGTTACAAATTTCCTCTTTCTCCTTCCAAACAAAGCACTTACAATCATCTTTGGATAATTCCTTCTTGATGGCCAGGAAAATCTATTCCCTTCCAGCTGCCACCTAGATTAGGTGACACCATAACACTGTCTATCTCCCAGACTATGGTCAAAATCAAACAGAAATAAAATTGCAGCATGGTTTTCCACTGGTGGGTTACAAGAGCTAAGGCACTTTATATCACCAAGAACAATGGGTTATTTACCAACTACTGCTCTTTGAGGCCTTATAAGCACCTTCTCTGTACATACTCATGTTGACTACATGAGTAAGACAATTCTACCCTAAAAGCCTGCCTTGGAGCATGGCCTGAGACCCAGCATTGATACAATACCAGCTAAGGTGTGCTCCTTGGTGTCAGTCCCTCTCCAGCCAAGAATTCCATCTCCCTCTAGGCCTTTCCCAAAGGCAAACAGACAGATGTGCAGTGAAGGCACATATAATAAACACATCTTAAGAAGAATTGGACAGAAAGTAATCCATCTTACTTCTTGAAATGTTCCCTGCACGTAGGGGTCACTGTGAGCAAACAAATGCCTGGCAGGTCCCAGAACACTGAGTATTAAGTAATTTGCTTTATTAAGTAAAAGCAAACAGACTGCTCTCCCAAAGGTAGCATCACTTGAAGCCTCAGTAAGGCCAGAACATGAGGGGGTGGGAGGGCAGTGGAAGACAGACTGGAGCTCAGCGTCACAGCTTTGCAAATTACAACAACTGGCACATTCCACAAAGAAACCATTGATTTTGCCTAACTGACACACTGACAGCAAGAAGTGTTTTCTTGGATATTTCACAACATGTTTTTCACTGTGAGCTATCCAGAGAAAAATCTAGTTGAAAACTCCTTAGACTGATGAACAGTTAATATTAAGGGAATCAGGAAGACAATACAAAGATCTTAGCCTACCAAAAACATGAAGCAGAGGGGGCACTTCCAAAGCGTAGGATGCTTGGAACAACTTTGGTTGCAATCATAGAGAGTCTCTGAAGAGAGTAAAGGTAGATTACCTTTCTGTCTTCTAGCAAGAGCACATTCAAAAGGCAGACTTATCTTTAAATGAAACAATTTGCAAGTAAGACCTCCAACTCCCACACTCCTGCAAAAATTAACATCCAAAGGTACATTTGTGAAAATACAGATTTTTAAACAGTTTTCCCACCAAAATGGCAGAACAAGAACAAAACTCCATGTGGAACTGAATTCTTGTCAGGAAGAAAACAGCTAATTAGACCTTTCAAAAATCTACTAAGAGTAGAGTATCCAGTGCCAAATGGTGCATGGGGTTCAGAGGAAGGCCTGTGAGAAAGACTCCTGATAAATTATGAGAGTAAATAAAGCTCAGAACCACCCCACTGATTAAAAGGTATTGGTCATTAAAGAACAGAGTTGTATTTCTATGAATTCCAAGCACTGCAAGGGAATAAGACTAAATTTCTGAGTATTAATCCCAAGATTAATGCAAGATTAATGAATGCCTCATTTTTTATCCTATGAATGACACTGCCCCTAGCATGTCATCCAAATAAGGAAAAATTAATACTTCATAGATGGGTTTTTTTTCAAGTAAGAAACCACAAGAATGAAAATCTTCATAAAAAGCCCCTCTGTGCCACAAGTTGACAGAAGCTAAGATTCTGAACTGCAAAGAAGCATTTTAAAAAAAGATAAGTTGAGATGCAAGCCTAATGCAACAGAGGAATTACCAGTCACATTCATTCAGAATCAAGGCAGCTGCTATGGGGTTTTTTTAATAAATAAGCAGTCAGATCTGTAAAACACCCCAGCTCCAGAAGAAAATAAGGAATAAACCTATGGTCCTATATTTAAATTTAAATTGTTACAGTCATCTAGGAAACTGTCCTAGTGGGGTGCACAATACCAAAGGCAAGAGGTCCGATGTTCCAAATTAGTATTGGTATAATGAGTAGACTTAATATATGGTAATGAACAGTAATTCTCTGCATCCTTCTCTTCCTCTTTGGTAGAAGAATATCTGTAGAGATTTAAACAAATAATCAATGCAACCTACTGGACTGACTGACCTCTTCAGAGACCGCTATGGGTCAAGGAAAGCCTCTCCTATGACTAAAACTGCTGAATGTTAAATTGGAGCAGCTAAATTTCCTTTGCTCATGTTTTGGGAGGTACCTTAGAGCTAGTGATGGCATCACAGACTTATTTGCATGGATCAACAGAAAAGCTTGTTATTTTGCAAGAAGAAATTACCAGAAATATCACTTCTTTGCAGGAAGAAATTACCAGAAATGCACGTTGAAATTAAAATCTTAAGAAATCAATCAACCAATCAATCAATCTGCTTGTGATGTAAGAGGATCTTTCCATCAGAAAAACTTTCAGGATGAAAAAGGAAGCCATGCATACTAACAAGTGCTAATAAGTGTCTATTAATGTGAAATCAATCAGCAGTCAGAAAGGAGTATCTATTATGACCATATTAGGGCTGAAGTCCCAGAGGAAAACACAGACTTCTGGATGTGCTGCAGTGGACCCTGACAGAGAGAGTGAGTTGACAATTCAGTTTAGTTAAAACCAGCAAATATTAGGACTGATCTAATTAATCCAAAAAGTTAGAAAAATAATAGTTACAAAGGTGGTGTGCACAGAGAATGGGGTTGTAGTGTGGTCCTATGGATGCTGCTAAGGAGAAACTCTACAATTACCACGGGTTAATGGCACATTTCCATTCTAGGACCACTCCACAGCAAGCATTTTATTTTAATCATCCAACACGCAAAGTAGGAACCTCTGGCCCAAAAAATTAACGATATATCCCGAAGAAACAAAACTTTTCTGAAAAAAATTCTAGTTCAAAAACATCAGAATGCCTCTCTTTCAGGATGTGTCTGAATTTCAAAAATCCCACAAAGAGACACTGAATATAGACAGTGAAAAAAACTAATGGTTCTGTAAGGATTATGAAAGATGTTTTATGAAACAAACTTTCTAAAGTCAAACAAACCGGTTTTCTCAGATCTGAGAAATCCTACAGAATACTCAGGTCTAAGTGGGACAAATCACTCCAGGTATGCAGGCTCCTTTCTGTAAAGATTATACAAGAACCAATGAATTAAATAACCTTAAACTTCATAGTAAAATTCCCATAGAAGGACACATTAAGAATGTTAAAAAATAATACCCATGTCTAAAAAATCAACTCTAATAAATATTTGTAGAAGATTTCAGGGACAAGTTTAAGAAATAGAGGAGAAAAATTGATTAAGTCATAAGTAGAAATCCTTGAGTCAACTGGAAAAAAGCTGGGAGAAATTCCATTTGCTTGCTGGTATTTCTAGCTTCATCTGCAGTGGTATGCTCTTTTAATAAAAGAGGTTGTAACTGCTGAAATGTCATCAGCAGAAGCTTATAAACATGACTGACAAGACTCAGATGTTATTAAATTTTCACTCAAGTAGTTAAAATAGAAGAGTGGGACAAAGAACTGAATTAGATTCCCATTCTTTACCATGCTATTCCTATGGTTCATCAACCTCCACAGTGCATACGAAGCACTTTCACTAACTGTAAATGAAAGGAGAACAGTTTCCTTGAGATTTCATTTCCTTGAATTTACATCTGAGGAACATGGGATGAGAAGACTACATCCCAGTTACTGTGTCAAGTCTTTTGCTATTATAGTATTACAATGCTGCTCTTAAACTAAACAAGCTATCTTAAAAGTAGTTTCCCGTTTGGTTTTGGCCAAGACAGCCAATTTTGTTCACAGCAGTTAATATGGGGCTATTTTGGATTTGTGCAGCAACAGTGTTGGTAATACAGGGAGTTTTTGTTGCAGCTGAACAGGGCTAACACAGCATGAAGGTCCTTGCGGCTGGGGGTGCACAAGGAGTTGGGAGGGGACACAGCTGGGCAGCTGACCCCAGCTGACCAAAGGGACATTCCAGACCATGTGGCATCAAGCTCAGCACATAGAGCTGGGGGAAGGAGGAGCAAGTGGGGTGCTGTGATGATGTTTGTCCTCTCAAATCACCATTACATGGGATGGAGCCCAGCTTTTCTGGAGAGAGCTGAACACCTGCCTGCCCATGGGAAGCAGTGAGTTTTCCCTTTTTTGTTTCATTTCTGTACACAACTTCTGCTTTACCTGTTAAACTGTCTTTATATCTCAGCCCAGAAGTTTTCTCACTTTTACCCTTTCAATTCTATCCCCCATCCTGCTGAGTCAGGAGTGAATGAGTGGCTGTGCAGGACTGAGCTGCTGGATGGGGTTAAATCTGACACATCTGCAGTACTATGAGACTGGTCAACAAACTCTCTGTTGCTGAAATAAACTAGAAATTAAACTCTTAACCCAGGATGAAAAACGAATTGTCTTCAAATTTTCACATTCAATTTATTCACATGTAGTTTACATTTCACTAGATTTTGAGCAAACTTGGAATTTCAGGAGGTAAAAAAAGCTGGTGAGCAAAACTGTTAAGCCACAATCCCCCTCTCCCACATTTGTCTGGAGACATATCATAGACCTCCTCAGCTTTTCATCTGCTTGTCTGAATAAAAAATGTAAGAGCTGCCTCTTACAATACATGCATTATTTCCCCAATTATTCACTCCATGATTATTATCATGATTAATACCAACACCTCTTCTACTAAGGTGTTGATATTTATGCAGAGATTTAGTCTGTCAGAAAGAAGTTTCCTTGTTTTTGCTGTGCATGATTTACTAAGGAAAACAGCTTTGGCTCTGTTCTTCACAAGAGCCAGCCTCTGAGTGAAGGAGTTGGTCTACATCCCTTTTTTGTACCTACCCTTAAAAGATCCCATATGTTACAGTACATCTGTCATCACTGTACATATGTGGGGATCTGTAACACATGAAGCTATAGCATTTCTAACAGCTCTTATGGCCAATCTTTTCCCTGAGCTGTCAGCTAGGTGCTACCCCCAAAGACGCTTGCTTTTCTTAGAATTCTGCTATAGAATTCATGATCTGCAGAACCAATAGTGGGTCACCTCTGTGTTTCCAACACATCCCTGGAAATTGTTTTTCAGAAAGATGTAAAAATATTTGAGCTTTCTTGATAAAGTAGAAGAATCTTACATGAAATGCATTTATTCTGTGATCAACAGGCATTATACTGAAACACTGGAAAGCATATTCCTTCAAAATCTCCTTCATTTCCTGAGAAAAGGTATGGCAATTCTCTGACCATCTCCTTGCTGGCCTCTTTGGGCTCTGGGTTACAATTTTAATAGAAAAGAATGACATTAACCAGGACCCAGCTCCTTACTGGACCTCCTTAACTGCTCAGCAGTACAGGAGTAATCAGCTAAAGCACATACTTGCAGAAGGTGCCTGGGCTGAGGAATTCTTACCAGTTTAATCTAAATTACGTCAGAATGGCAATTAAGGATATGGGCATTGAGCATTTTGAGAAAAGAAGAAAGAAGTGAGGAAAACATGGATTTCAGAGCATTCTTTGAAATACTATTAAAGTTTTCTGTTCAGTCATCAGTTTCCATTACTCAATGTTCTGTGTAAAAGATTACATTCTTTGCCAAGAAATAAAATCTCAATGTTAAGGAAAGCAGAATGCTAGTGCTTTAAAAGACAAGGTGATGCAAAATAACATGATGCACGTTAACTATAATTTAAATAATTAAACCATAAGAAACATACTCCAATGTAACTAACAGATTTTAAAGCCATCATACCTTCTATCACTTTTATCTGGAATCCATTTGCCACAAGCCTTGGATCTGACAAATAACCTGATCCATGGAAACTCTGATTCTTCTGCATTTTATAGAGAGCAGCCATGTATTGAGATCCACCAATAAGACTGGAAAAAAAATCCTCAAAGTGTTAAAAAACCAACATCCCTTATGTGAAAATTACAAGTATGCAAAAACCACAGAAAAAGGTAGCAAGTGATAAGGAGTGATCAAGATTTTTAAAAGCATTTTGGAAAAGCAATTTGTTTAAAGAAACAAAATGAGAACTATTCACTTATCTTAGTGAGGGACTAAGCTTAGGCATACAGTAATAATAATTCTATCAGCCATTCCCTAATTCTTGGGGGAAAGTCAGCTACAGTGAAATTACGAAAATGTGGAGCATTTTATTTTCTTCTGGGGGAGGAAATTTGTATTTGGTGCACAATTAAACTGGTCAAAAATCATAGTTATTTCAGTTAGAGTAAGACCAAGCGTGCTCATTACTTCAAGAATGAAAAGAATAAGAACCAAAAATCTGTTTTAATAGCTAAGTGAGTGCACAAATGAGCACAGCATTAGCAAACAGGGCCTTGCCAGAGTTCAGAGTTTATTTGATAAATAATTATCAAATGATGTTTTAAGTAACATACACATTTTTGCTCAATAGCACTATACCTGTCTGTTAACACAATTGGATTGTCCAGTTTCTGTGCTGGAAGCTTATGGTTCACCAATAATCTCTTACATAGCAGGGCCTCTTCCAATCTATATGGATTCAGCAACTTCACATTTTTTTCAGTAGCAAATATCCAGACATCAGGAAAACTCTGACGACGGATCAGGAAAAGCTGATCATCTGAAACATTTCTCTCTTGTCTCTGAAGGTGACGTCTACACAAACTCAGAGAGAAAGGCACTGTCACAATTTTCACAGGCTGTTCCATTTTCCCCTTCTTTTCAATCTGATCATGAAATATCTTGTCAAGCTTCTGCTGGTCAGATGCAGCATTCTTTAGCTTGGGTTTGTGTTTTTCTGCCTCCTTTGCTGGTCGGTGCATTGGCTGTGCATTGGCTTTCTTGACCTCTCTGTTGTACCGTTCCTGGTCCTTAGTGGCTTTCATTTCATAACTTAGAGGAGAAAACAAACCAGTAGCATCAGCAGACAAAAATCTCCAATTCCCAGGCTACAAACACACTAAAGCAGAAGGAAAGGTAACCACTTCAACAGCCAAGAACCACATCCATGGTCCATTCAGGTACCCACATCAATATGCTGCCCACTGCCATGGAGATGGTCACTGTGCCTCTATTACATCACACCTTGAACAAAAGCTGGAGATTTTCCTTCATCAAGACAGCCAGCAAAACCTCAATTACTGTAAGGGGGAGGAACTATTACTGTAAGGAATAGAGTGCATCATATAAAGATCTACAGCAAGATTCTTTTCACCTCAGTCTGTTGTTTAATTTGCAATCAAATACAGAGTTTTGGAAGGAGTTTTTTGTCAAAGCCACATCCAGCTCAATTTACAAAGTAATTTCAACTTCCAGAGCTCTACAGCCTTCTAGGGGAGGCCAAGGGGGTGGCAGGACTTTGGAGCTTGATTAATTTCCCAAGCACCAGGCCTTACTTAATAAAAGTGTATTTCATTTCAAATGGCCTAAAATTAGCCATATAAAGCGTTAAAAATACAGAATATGTAAGATTATCACAGAATTCTGTAAGTAATAATCAGTCTTAGCAGTTTTTCAAAAACAGTCAATAAAAAACTACTCCTAAATGCTGTCTAAATGGTTAAAACATTATTACATACTAAACCTCTACAACATGAATGGATTCTTAATGAGTTTATAAATGTCAGGGAGATAACTAAACTTTTATAGGTCCCAAGTTTATGCTTGTCTACTGCATATGAATTTCACTTTTCTGAAAGCAAAGGGTATGATTTCCTGAACTCCCTATTTTTGCCCTTACTTGATATTCTGAATTCTAGAAGGTAATTCAAACCAGTCTAATCTTCAATTAAAACAAAACCAAAAAAAAGTAGTACTATCATATGTTAGTATTGGAAATAAGTATTTTAGCTGGTCATATTTATTTATTGCTACTTGCTGGAACAGTTTGATTCAATTATGTGTATGCACGCTGGAAAATTAAGGTCAACAAAAGGGTCACCATTTGCAATTAATTATGATGTGCTAGCATTCACATATGGTACCAATATTTAGTTAACTAAAAAAGTCAGCTTAAATAGTTTCTTGCAATAAATCACGTCCTAGAAAATATGGAGCAAACATTAAGATAAAAAACATCTGCTGCTTTTAAAATGAATGGACTACATCACTTGAACAGAATTTTTTTTTAATCCCAAATTCATTTACAGCTTTGACCAGATCAATAAATACTTTGTTTTGAATAGACCTAACTGTAATGTAGAAAAATACTTAAGTGTAAGAGAACTAAGCCTTCAGTGATCACTGATAATCCAAAATGCAAGTCCTGCTTGCCTGTCAGTTTAGGCTACCACCAGAAAAATTCTAGTCTTACAAACTTTGACTGTGAGCATCTTCCAAATTCATACACATCAATATCAGTGATTTGCCCAGAACCAAAGAAAAACTGCATATTTACAACCATGAGAGAACAACTTTGCCTTTCTGAAAATCCTTCCAAAGAGAAACATATAATCAACAAGTGCTACAAGAACAGCATTCTCTGCTTTGTGAATTAAAACTGCAAATTCAGGATCCTTTTCTGATGCTACAAAATGTAAAGCCAAGAAAACTTGCAGAAATGGATGTAAGCAGAGAGTGGAAGACTAGAATGAAGACTAGTTTCAAAGGCAGCTTTGGTTTAACTAGAAAAATGGACCCATGATATATTCTTTCCCCTTTGCAACATAAATCCAAACAAAATAACCGCATACTAAAAAAATCCTTTTAATATTTATCTCTCAGCCCTTATAAGACAAATAATCTGAATCTGAGTATTTGTTGCAAACTCTGACAGCAAAGACCATGCTACCTGAAAAAGCTTCTCCCAAGGTACAAATCTACTCAAGAAGAATTACTGCAGAGTGCTGACAAGGTGATTTGTTAGTCCCATGACAACGTATGTAGCTTTGAACCTTTCCTACACCTTCAGGGTAACTACTCCTGCCACTGTTATGGCACTTGGAGGGATTTCTCCCACTCCCACCTGAGCCTGATATGCAGGAAACATTAAGGCCAGTAACACATGCAAACTGTATTAAGTAAGAACCGAGTGACTGCAAGGAACGAAACCCTTTGCAAAGCAGGGGGTTATGTGATGCTGCCAGCATGGACATGCACAGAGCTTTCCTCCTCTATTATAACCTAAAGACCGTAACATTTGACATTCCGGTTGTGTAATAAATGCTGGCTTGTTTTGAAAAGGCCATCCTGTGTCACTACAAGACATCTGGTGCTTGTACTACTCCCAAAAGGGATTTAAATTAATTTAGACCTGATGGAGGGGCCACAGAGAGAAACAGAGATGCTGAAACCATGCACACCCATTGCACAAGGCAGGACTTTATCACAGAAGGATGGAGGACCGGAGCCCAGAAAATGTGGGGTTGTGCCAGCAAGGATGCATGAAGAAGAGCTGTGGCACTTGACTGCCCTGATGGATTTACTTATGTTTTTACCTCTAGGTGGCCCAATTTATCCAGAGTACCTGGAGGCAAGACTTATGTTCTCTGCCACAAGTCCTTCTGGGCTGCTGCTCTGCAGGAAAAGTTGCCTGTGTTTCTGTTTTATATGTCTATGTTACAATTCCTATTTGCTACCCTCTGAGGCAATTTTAAGATCATAAATGCAGAAAGGTATCTACAGATATAAAGCTGGTATCTATAGATACAAGTAGTGGTGAATTCTTCATTTCCTTCAACAGCCATGGGATTCGATCCTACATATAAGGAAAATACATATACAGTGTGTATAATATATTGCATTCAATCCTACATATAAGGAAAACTTGATTACCAGAGAGGTCTCTTTCCTGAACTAATGCAAAGTTAATCTGTAGGCACACTCTTTAACATAACAGTTGTACCAGGAAAGCAACCATGAAATCTCAAAAGCTAAAGCAGAGCAAATTAAAATTTTCTGAAGCAGCTGGCAGAACCTTTTGTTTCATTTCATCAAAACCATGAATATAATTGGAGTAGATTTCTACTATTACATTAATATTTCTGCTTATGCAGAGATGGACAAACCACTTTTTCACATATATGGGTTTCTGACCATGGCATGTTGTTTGCAAAATAAACTTTAAGTTAGGTAAACCAGAAGATAAGTAAAAAGGTTCCACTTAACTCTGATATAGCTGACATTCAGAACAATGCAGATGGCTTATTAAAATATTTCCTTTTCTTGCAGATTTCAAAAACTCAGTGACAATTCACTTTAGAAAAATATGGAATTTAGTTATTCAGACTGCAACCCAGGAAGACTTGGTCTTGTTTGAAACAGATTAAAATTTAGACTGTGCTACAGTCCCTGAACCAGCTCTGGAATAGCTGTTTAAGGGAAAAAGTAATTCCTTGTGTCATTTAATTGGGTTTTGCAAATACAATTGTGAGGCAGCCTAGGTTGGGATACAAATGAAATTTAGTGGAATGGAATTTAGCCAATGTTCAAGTACCAAAGTTCCTAAAAAATAATTCTTGCTTTATAGCAATAAAGTTGAAAAATCTCTGAAGAACTCTACAGTGCCTCATCCATCACCCAAGCTGGTTTTCAAGGACAGTGCGTTGGGAGTGATACAGTAAAGGCTGCCCTTACAAGTCTGTAGGATTCAAACAGTTCAGCAGAACTGTTCCTAACTCCTGCTGTCCTTAATCTAACTGCTGCACAGCACAGTGGCAAAACTAATAATTCCAATCAGCAGTGCACAACAGCACATAGCAAAACACAATTCACAAGAGTGATTCTGATCCTGAGAAGCCAAAAAATATTATCTATTTTTTCATAAATAACTGGAATGTTACAATTTTTAAAATTCATTACAAGTGACTTTCTGGTAGTTTCCAGATTCAGAAGCAAGACACAGACCAAACTTACTTTTGTTTTTCCTCTTCATTCAAATTCTTCCACTGCTCTTCAATTGTCAGCAGGATGTCATTCATGCTGGTCTTTGGATTATCATTTATCAATTTTGGACGACATTCATGTGTGAAAAATTCAAAAGCAGACTTTGGTTTCTTTATTATTCTGCTATTAATTAAGTCATAAGCTGTCACATGTCCAAATTTTTCACTTATCAAATTTTTTTTCTTTATGCTTTGATTAGAGCTTTGTGGATCACAGCTTTTTTCACCAGTATATTCCTTTCGCTCATTAGTTGTCCCTCCAACTTGAGGAATCAAGATCTTAACGGGTTCCAGTCTGTCTCCCAGACAGTCTTTAAATGCACTTCCCATACTCCAACTATCAGCAGAGATTTCAGGTAGGTCCTTAGGGACTAAGGCTTCCTCATTTTTATCTATTTTGTCAATATTATCAGAAATCAAAAGTTGCTCGTTGGCTTTTTTAGACTCAGGGTCCACAGGAACACTATTACTTTGAATATCAGCCATATTCTGTCCATTCTGTTCCTCCTCACGCAATAAATTTAAGGAACTGTCTGGAAAGGCATCACTCTTAGAAACCTCTCTTTTGTCCAGGCGACTGTGTACATTATCACCACTAAATGTCTGATGATTTAAGCAGATCTCTGCGTTTTTTCCTGCTTGACAGTTTTGCACATCACTGCTGAGTGAAAGGAATGAAGTATGAGCATGTAGCTCATCATTTCCAGATGGTCCCATTTCATTAACAGCCACATCTGTTTGGTCTGTTCTATGAACAAACATGTCTTCTGAGGTAACATCTGTTTTATTACTTTCACCAGGGACTGCAGCAGGTAGTGGCCCATACAGTGATTTCAACACATTTTCAACTGCAAGTAAGACGGATTCCTGGAAAAAAAGGAAGAAAATACACACACAGGAGTGCACCTGAAAATGCAACTCCCAGATACCAAGGATACAGAACAATATGCAAAGCGCTCTTATTAGGAATAATTTTTAGACAAATCTGGACAGATTATTGCATTTCAGTTGTTCACACGTTCCAAAAGACTCTGAACTGGACACTTTCAGCCTCAAATATTTTGTGACATGTATTCTGCTTCTTTAGTTTACTCTGATATCACAAAACCAATTAAATGATTTCTTCATAACAGGGTTTTAACTTCCTAAACCACTATTAGGTAAAGTTATTCCTACCTAATAAGGAGTTAGAAGTTTACAACCAAAGCTGGTGCACCAGCAACATTCAATTTCATGTGAATGTGCTTGTGTAGGTGCTTTTATGGTGCATGTTTCCAAATCAACTTTGCACCAACTGATGGAAATGAGCAAGATAAAAAACCCAAACCCCTAAAAAATAGAAATAAATTTAAAAAAGAAAAAAGAGAGAAAAGAAACTCCAGCCCTCTTATGCCAAAGGAAAACTAGATCAAATGTAAAAATGCTGTATTAATTTTCATACAAGTGACCCTTGTATGTCACAACATACAGGCAGTACATTTACAAGAGTAACACAGACAAATACCAAAGGTTTTTATGAAGGAGAGGATTAAAATAGTGGTGTTACTACCTATACTCACTTTGAGTAAGTGCATTAATAACCACTAATGCAATCTTTCTAATTTCTGTGGCAGTTAATTGATGCTGTCAATAATTTATACACATAATGACAAAATAGTGCTTTGATGAGAAATGAACTCCCCTCCTGCCCACACTCACCTTAATGGTGGTGTTTAGTGATTACTTGGTTTCAATATAAACTTAAGCATGAGATTTATACAGGATCAATTCCACTTAGCTTCTCTCACTGTAAAGCCATTTGAAACCAAAGTGGTACATGCATATATGTGACAGCATCAAAATCTTTTAAATGAACTGGGAAACTAATTTTAAAGAATCACCCAGTTAGCCTGTTCAGTACTTTTTGATCAATACAGTGCTCTGACAAAGGCAAGCTGTCCTTTGCCCCAAAAATCCATTAACAGTAACAGTGTTTATGTTTGAACATTCTGGTAGTCCCAAGGCCCTTATTATGCTTATATAAAGACTCGGAACTCAAAACTAGAGTAAAACCTTAATTACCTTATAATGCAGCAAAACTTGTGTTTTATCAGGTGTTATATTCACATCCACTGCAGAGGCAGGTACAGTAATACTCAAAAAGAATACAGGATATAAACGAGTACAGTCCTTTTGTGTCACCTGACTGTAGTATTGTCGAATTAACTAGAGATTGATTTAATAAAGAGATGTCAGTAAAGGCAATAAAATAGACAAAAATGCATAGAAACAAAACCTGACATTATAAAGCATAACTGATTTGCTAGTTTTGTCAGTTTTTCAAGTTAAAGAAAAGCTTAGAACGTCCTCATACACATGCATGCCAGAATCATCTCCAAAAGGGCAGTTCCTGGTGGTTTCCATGCCTTCATAGCATGGAGGCAAAAGTGATATACAGCCTATTTTCCAAGCAGGGCACTGTATTTTTACTTTGAATGCTGAATCCCACTTTGAATACAGGCTTCCTTGCTCTTGTTAAGGAACCATCTCTGTCATGGGATTCAAGCTAAGCTTTGAACTCCCAGAAGAGCCAGGCACATAAAATCATGCATGGAGATGGATTACCCTCATTCAGTATTTAACATACCAACATAAGTTCAGAGTTTACATCTACAAAGCTTTGCCTGCCAATTGAAAACTACTGTTGTATCCTGTCCACTTTAAAACCTGCAGGAACACTTTGGCATGAGCATGATTTTCTTCCCTGGCGATGACAAGGATTAGGACAGCAAGGCTGCTCCAAGTGAAGTGCTGCAAGGTTCAGTAGTGAGAGAAACCCAAGAGTATCAAATTCTGCCTACACAATGCCTAGCTGTAGCCAATGCTGCTGCACTATCACTTTCATTTCTACCCAATGCACACACAAATTTAAAGGGAAAGCATGGGTGTTTGCTTGGTAAGCCCACAGCTGGAAGTGGACAAAATCAAAACTGTGTTACAGAAGAATTCTCATACGAGAAACTACATAAAGTTCCCTTATAGGAAATTGCACAGATGATTTCTACAGGCTAATACAATGAATCAACTATTCTGGTATCTTGCATAGAGGATCTGAAATTAATTCTGTTAAACAGCCAAAACTACAACCTCCAGCTCTGTGGTCTGACTGCAGCAAATGCAATAGAACTGAGGCACCAGCAGCGTCACACTTCTGGAAGGGGTTTCTGTTGTAAATGCTAGTATTTTCACCTATAATACTCTTAATTATTTCATGGCGGGGAAAAAAGTTGTAGATTGCTTAGGCATCTCTGTCCTCAAAGAAATCACATTTCTTCTCCTTGAATTAAAAGCTAGAGGGTGTTACCTTCAGTATTTCCTTCTGAAGAACTGGACGATTATTTATAAAAATGAAACTCCTTTCTGAACTTGAAAGGCTTGTCAAAGAATTGTCTGACTCAGCTTTTGGGAGAAATCCAGAAAGATTTATCTGCAATGATAAAACAAATACAGTGCAAAAGTCTTTTAAAGAACCCAGAATGTTTTTTTATAGAGGTGAAATAGTAAAACAAAACTGTACAGGAGTCCAATTCATTCAAATGCATGCACTGCTTCTTGACAGTTACAATATACAAAGATAAAGGCAGTTAGGAAAAAAAAAAAAAGAGGCTGAGAAAGGTGGGTTTGTATTTATTTCCCTTGATCAATTTATTGACATATTTCCCATCTGGACTGCCAGTTGCAGCAGGATGCTGCATGGAGCTGAGGCTGTGGAGAGCCAGGCCAGCAGTTCTTGGCTTGCTGACTGCAGGGTTGCCACCTAAGCCCTGTCCAAGCCAAAAAGGCACAGAGTGCTGCCCAACCTGGCCAGGGCAGCAGTGAACCACCCCTACAGGGAAAGCCCAAAACACACAATCCCTCCCTTTCTACATAGAGAGCACCTTAAATAGCTTGTCATAGGGCATTTATTCAGGGCACCTAAATTTACCTACGCCACCTGTATCCAAATCATCTGACTCTCAAGAGTGCTGAGCACCCACGATTCACAGGCTGCAGCAGAACCTGTGAGCACAGCACTGCCAGGGAGCCTTGGAAACAGCACATGATTTGTGTACCTAACATGAACTCCAAGTTAAAAGATTTTTCTGTTGAGATTCTTTAACAGGTTTTTCAGGTCAAAATAAGGCTGATGACTGGTGCTGCTTGTCCCATCTCTTCCACCTCTCCCCCACAATGCAACTTTCAAACTGTTGGATGGATTTCAAATCAATCTGATAAAGAAGCAGAAATCCCAAAGATGTATTTCCACAAGTCCCATGATAACTGACAGCTGTTTGGAGAGAACAGCCTCAAGATAATGACTTCACTAAAGAAAAGGCAATTGTAACTTTTCAAAAGCCAGGAGCCAGCAGCATGCAAGAACTGACATCCTGCACAGCCCTCATTCTGCCCCACATACTGCCCTTCTCCACTTGGCCAAACTAACAGGTGAAGGAACACTGGGACAGCATGAGGATGGAGATTTTGGAGATTTGGGATGAGAAAGTCTGGAGAATGTTCTGGTAGCAGGGTGGATTACTGAACACAGAAATGAGTCCTCATAAGCTCTGCTTTTGGCAGAACCCCTTGTATTTACTAAAATCCAAATTATCATGCATTTGAAATGGAATTTAAGATCCATGGGATTTGGCCTACCCTTCCCATTCACCTACGTCACGCAGCTATCTGCTCATGTGCTCCCTTATTCCCTCCTGACCTTGTACCAAGCATTCTGTGCTAAAGCTGGCATGTTCTGGTCAGCAACGTCGCACAGAACCAAACACCACTGGTCAAATTAAAGAGGTGTCAAGTATCTGTTGGATGATTATCAGAAAACAACATGCACCACTTCTAGATTTTATTCTGCAGCTTTAGCTCATCCTCCCTCAATATTCCTCCTCTACACTTCAAGCTATTTTTCTAATTCACAAATATCTGTACAACTCTTTCACTTCAACAATATTTTTATATACAGAAAACATTAAAGCAAAACTGAAAATCTCTAAATAACTCATTTAACAAGTTGCCCGATTTAGAAATCTGACTGCTGTTACTATTTACAGCCATGCAGAATATCAGTATGCTCATTAAAAGTTATCTACAATTTATAATGCTAGTTGTAATTGAATTTTCATATATGAAAGTATATGAAGTATGAAGACAAAATTACAGAGACTGGAAAATATTAATGAAACTTTGATTTCATAGTAGATCAACTGTTCCCAAAATAATAAAAACCACAACTTACATATACATTAAAATATATCCATGATGGGTGGACAGCAGAATGCCTTTTTTTTTGTACTTATCTTTCTCCCAGTGGCATGTGTAGCTGCTAAACTTAACTTCCATAGGAAAAGAAGGCACTAGGGAAATTTCCTGTGTGAAAGTTTTCAGCCCAATTAAACTTACAAGACTGGGGATCTGAAAAGTGCAAATACTGTCTTGTACTTGAAAAAAGTAGTGTTAGTTCTTTATTTTCTTGGTTTTCTTTTTATTTTACAAATAGCTCCTGATTAGCTTCAAATCTAATTTGAAATGTGTTCCTGTTTCATTCAGTTTCATTCATTCTTCTTTCAAGAAGTCTTTAAAATCCCTGGATGCCTTGTTGAAGAAGTTTTACCTCTGCAGTAAGGAACAGCAAGATTAGTTTTGTCTTCAGAGTAGCCTTTGCAGCAAAGGAGCATGAAGGTACACAATGAACAAACAGGACTTAAAAGAATTAAAGAGCTGCCTTCTGGTCTGTATAGCAAATGAGACACAGACCACATGGGAAGGGAAATAAGCAGTATATGCCTGCCCTTAAATACCTGTTCCAATACCTGCACTGAAAGGGGGAAAAAATGGTTACACAGGCAACTTAACTCTGTCACTCCGTAGTGTTTGGCTGCCTCGTTTATAAATGTCCACAGTTTCTGAACGTCGACATTATGCATGGATCACTTATACACCTATAAATGATGCACATGGTATTTTACACACTATTTAGAGACAGAGAGAGAGATGGAATGTTCTCCAACTTCTATTCAAGGAATATGGATGCCTCATGATATAGCAGAGAAGTAATGTGAGAACCTAAGTGCCTCCTCCAAGCTAGTCCCTTCTAAATACCCCCTTATCTTCCCTTTGGAGCCCCCTGCACTTGTCCTGGGGGCACATCCAAGCTACATTCACAGAAGAATAACTCTGGAGGTTCTGTACAGACATAAACAACTAAAACTTTGTAAAGTACAAGAAGTGGCTTTGCTTTGTTCCCACTCATTTCACTGCATGTATAAAAGCATTCTGGCAAACTCAACAATTAAGTCTGAATAATGCTATTAAGCTGTACATATAAACAGTGAGACTTTAAAGTCTGAATAATATTATTAAGCACCATGCTGAATACAGCATTGGCGTCTAAGAGCCATTGTGACTCCATAGTGATTCACCTCATCCTGTCAAGGTTTATTCCTATGTGATACATGAAAATGCAGCTTAGAAGGTTCCAAGGTAGCAAGATTCCCCTTTAATAAAAATGTCTCCAACAAAAATGGAAGCAGAGTGAAACATTTTTGAAAACATTAGACAAAGGGAGGTATCATGGGGAATTCCCTCATTTTCAGACATGGCAAAAGAAGCCAAGAACACTGATTTTTTTGAAAACTAGAAAGTATTTCGTTGAAATACATGTTTAGTGGAAATTTTCATAACTTGCCCTTCTAAGTATGCATTCCTTTTGCTGCTCAGGTGCCCCCACTGAAATTGAGGGGATACTCTTTAGAGTACAAGGCTAAGAGGCCACGAAGATGAGAACCATCTAAATGCTTAGATATTAATCAGGGGAAAACCTGCCTGTGGGCCAGGAATCCCAACTGAGACATCTCTGAGCAATCAGCAATTCTGCATTTGTCATCACAACTGTTTTTACTGCCATCTGATCAGTGCCACATGAGTCCTGATGAGATGATTCTTGGAGTGGATTTTCAATCACCAAACCAATTAATTTTATGGAGAGGACAGTAATAGAAACAAATGCATTAATCAGATGTCAATCTGGAAACGCATCTTCTTTTTCAAAGCCTCCTTATTTTTTGAATATTTATTTAGCTCTCTTCATTGACAGACCTGAAGTGAATTTGGGAGAAAGAAGTTTAAACTCACCTCAGGATATTCGCAGCAGTGTTGAAAAGGTACCATACTGCTCATAACGGCTGTTCCCAGAACTGACATACAGGCCATTTTGTGATCCGATACCCTGGTCTTCTGCCAAATAACTGCCTGAAACAAATGGCACAGAGTCAAATTTTTGACATTATATTTGTTGAACTCATGTCATGTCTATGAACATGCATATGCAACTGCACACACACTGTATATGTAACATTCTGTACCTTGACCCTGTGAAAATCACAACTTTCAGTGTTAACAGATTTGATATGGTACCTTTTGACACGTCTTCTCATATTGTATTACTAATTTAGACACACATCAACTGGAAAACTAAGCAAAGCTTATCTTCATCCATAGTTTGTGGCTATTCTGGACTTCTGTACCTGAGGGCAACTGTTAAAACTAAATCATTACAAATAGTACTTCTCCTCTTATATGTACAGCAGTGGGCTTTACGCTTTTCCTGAGCAGTTGAAGTGAGGGTTTATGACATGTCTCTCACAAGCTGGTCAATATTTAAAGGTAGGCACTGCACTGCTTAAGTTACTTATACCAAAGAGGTTGTTTTGGTAGAGATCAGGGTATTAGCTGTCCAGCTCTCACCTGGATACTCTAGGTCTATGATAAGCCTGCCATTTAGAAAGAAAAGTGGTTTCTAAGGAACTGTATATACTAGAAAAGCAGTTATTTGTCTAATGAAAATTTGATGTTCAAGTTAGAAGGATGAGGGACCATCTGCTGTATTAGCTACATGTCTTGAAATATTATTACAAAGACTTAGTAAGTACAGTAAGGCAATATGAACTGCAACATGCAACAGCAAGTCCACTTATGCATACAGAAGGTATTAGCTACTTTGGGAGGTGAAATTTTGTCTATCACTAATGATATTTAATTATGAATTTGCTGACTTTCATTGCTGTGTATCAACAATAAAAATATTATCCTTGGTTGGTCTTCTGCTTCTAGGCAACTGAGACTGCTACACTCAAGACCACTTTATTATTGCCACTCTTAGCTGTCTGAGTGTATTCAATATGCAACCTTTAAACACAAAAGGAAAAATAATGCAGAATGTTGCATTTTAGATTGGATGTTACAGTGCTGTTAAAATTTATACTTTCAGTAGGTACTAGGTGTTCAATAAATTCAAAATGAGCTCACAGTATTCAAGTACAGGCTATTAAGTGAAAGGACGGTGATAAAGCAAAAAATACACACGCACCCATCTCAAGAAATGCTATACATAGCCTTAAAATTCCACCTGTCCAGTGGGATATTTGCTGGCCTTCAGGGGTGAATTCCACAGAAGAACATGGTTCTCCTGGAACATGATATTCCCTTCCCACAGGACAGGTGGAATTGTAAAGCTTTGAGACTGTTGACCCTAAACTATTTCCCGACTCTTTAATTTTCCAGTTCCACGTACATTCTGCAGCATTTGTGAATGCTTCTTAGTCCTGCCTGAATGCAATTCATCTCCTACAGAGCAGCCTGACAGCCCTTTGCACATGCTGGATCACAGCTCGGTTATTCTACAGTGAGGTGAATCCCTCAAACATGAAACACAATTTATATTGGAGGGCAGCAAACAGAAAAAGGGGAGAAGGAGAAACAAGTAAACAGAGCTATGGGCTGGGTGTCCACAGCTCTGTCAGGGAGTCCCCCTGTGCTCCAGAGCAGGCAGAGGTGAAGGACAGCCCAGGGCTGCCCCTCAGCCTCTCTCCTCTACACCTGCTCCCAGCCTCCTCAAAGACATTCTGGAGTGATGAAAGAATCTGTCCTGTTCTTTATAGCTCCTCTTATAAAACATATCCTGTACTGCTTCTATTTTAAAACTGATTACTTAAAATGGAAACAGAAAGTGCCAAGTGATTTTTTTCTTTACTGGATATATTTTAAATTAAATGCATGTGACCAAACTGAGAAAGACACTTGTTACATGACTAATATAAACATCATGCTGTTTATTTTAGGGTATCCTAGTGTGATGCTGCAGGTACAGATATAAATCTTAGCTGCTGATTAATGCGAGGTTATTACACAGCTTGACCTGCTAGAATGGCTGATACTCAGAACTGTGAAAAGATCACTTGTGTAAGGTGGTTTTAAGAAAGCTGTAGAAAATGAGAATGTACTAAATTCAAACTTGCTAAAAGTGGATACTGTAATAGGTTCAGATTAGTTTTTTAAATAGTCATATACTCATCAGATATTTATACCCAGTACTACAAACAGAATTTTAGGAAATAGTTATCACTGTAGGTTAAATTAAAGCCACAAACTAAAGAGGCCATGCAACTCCTAAATTTCTATACTACATAAAGACAAAATAAAGTGTGTATTCATTTTTAGCCCTGAGTCCACATTATGAAACAACAACATGGGAAGAGATGGTAATTTACAGAAAATTATTTTTCTAGGTTCCCCAGATGTATCAACAGGCATTAAAAAAATCTGAGAAACAATGCCTGTTCCATTTCATTTATTTTGGGAAGTGTTGCCATGAGGTTTCTGCAATACCCTATTTTTTTAACCTTGCTTATACCCTTTAGTTTAGCTAAAAATACACCCCTCACACACCCCCCATATTTTTTTTCTAGGTCATATAAAGCGGGTGTCTAGGCTGAGCCAAGGAAGAATCTGACTCTAGTCAGTATGATGACGCTGCAGAAACAGCCTACTCAAAGATATATTATTACATATGGCCCATCTTAGGTTCTGCAAGAGCGAGCCAAATATATTCCACCTCTCTGTTTCATTGAAGGGGATTGCACGATCCAGATCAATGCATATAAAATCTATTGCACATATGCAGAAGATAATCATGTGTGTCTCTGTGTGTATCTATTTCTCCACCCCATGCAGCCCTAGGACACAGGCATACTTCTGTGGAGGATGACAATGTACATTCCAACCTAAATGTTTCTGACTCCATGCACACACATGGACTAGGCACGTTATTTCAGGATGAATGCATATAGCACAGAAGAATTCCTTGAATAATGTGTAAAGTGTGGCAAAAGAGTGTGCAACCTCTTGTCCCTACTATACAGCACTAGAGAGAATTAAGAGCTGCTCAGTATTTGTTTCTTAAAAGACCCCAAAGAAGAACAGAGGAAAAAAAAAAAGCAGTTGCTCTGAATCCCTAACTATCCTTCATATTTTAGAATTTCTACCAGCGGCTACAGTGATTTGCAGTCCCAGATAAAAGAAGATCTCAGAGCTGGGATCAGATGCTGCTTCCAACTGTGGCTACTTCAGTGCAATTATGATGCTATGAGTTAAATTGCCTCATTCCATTTACCTTATTACTACATAATGGTAGTGCACTTAAAGTAAACTTTCAGTACCCAAATCCCACCTGTTTTCTTTATTTCATGACAGTCATTATTCACCCCGTAATAAAGCCTGAGGGTGTAAAAGTGTAGTGGAACAAGCAGTTATACATGAGCTGTAGGCTGGTAACATGAGTTAGATCTTTAAAAGAGAACTGCATTTCACAGTCTCTCTAGTTTTGTACTACATATTTCAAAAATCTTGTCACCCTAGCATGTGAGATCTCACTGCAGATAACTCTTTGGGCAAGTAGGTTCCTTAGCTTCTTGACTAAAAACCTAATAGCTTATTAGGCTTCAACTGAAAGCATTGCTGCCTACCTGTTAAGGGAGTACACAAACAGGAACAAAACTAGGCAGCAATATCCCAAGTTTGAATTGAGCCCAAGGGAAACAAAACCACATCATCCAGTAAAATGCCTATAACCTCTTCAGCTTAAAGATGCACAGATACCTAGATCCAAGGGCTGGCACATTCTTTGCAGTGAAAGAAAATCTATCTGCTAAGATCAAAACTGATTAATATAAAGTTTTCACCACGTTATTTAGAATGCCAGCCTTGAAAAGCACTGCTGTTTTTCAGCTCCATACCTTAACTGGCGAACTGTTTTAAAACCAATGGTAAGTTACCTTACTGAAAGGGAACCCATATATAAACTGCCCTTGAAAACAGAAATCACAACAACTTTTCAATTTAGCTTATAAAAAAATTAAGCAACCAATGATTTATTTTCCTAGATATTTTATATTCACCCCCTAAGGAATCAGTTGCCCCCTCCATTTTCTACGTGATGCTGGGACAATTACCAGTGGAGATACGCAGTAGAGAAACTCAAGGCACCATTTTTCCCCTCATCAGATGCAGCTACACACCTGTCTATCCCATAGGCATTGGATATTAGAGCTGTCAAAGAGATTTGTTGAAAGATAGTCATGTTCCACAGGACTGTTCATTCTACAAATTCTAGTGTATTCCTTACTCAGATTTCCCTTTCATGACATGAGAGCACCCTCTCAATGAAAAGACTTTCTTGAGCAAGACACAGTGGAGAAATGCTTGGATTTGGGAGTTAGGAGGTAAGTCAGGAGAGGAGCTAACACATTAGAAGGAGCCAAGGATCTTCATCTGGTAACACCTGTCTTCAAAGCCTCTAAAGAATTCCAAAGACTATTGAGAGTCATATGCTTTTTGATTGCCTTAATCACACATGTTCAGCCAAGGGTGTTCAGAAAACCTGATCTCCTCTTGTGACCAGGTGACCCACCTAGTGGATGAGGGGAATGCTGTGGATGTAACCTATACTTCATTAAAGTCCTGGACACTGTCTCCCACAGCATTCTCCTGGAGAAACTGAAAGCCCATGGCTTGGACAGGTGCACTATTTTAGGATGCACCCTGTCTGGATGGCCAAGCCCAGAGAGTGGTGGTGAATGGAATGAAATGCAGTTGGCAGCTGGTCACTACTGGTGCTCTCCAGGGCTCAGTAGCAGGGCCAGGCCGGTTTAACATCTTTCCCAGTGATCTGGAGAAGGGGACTGAGTGCACCCTCAGTCAGTTTACAGGCAACATCAAGTTGGATGGGAGTGCTGATCTGCTGGAGGGCAGGAAGGCTCTGCAGAGGGATCTGGACAGGCTGAATCAATGGGCCAAAGCCAGTGGTGTGAAGTTCAAAAGGATGAATTGCCAGGTCCTGAACTTGGATCACAACAATCCCCTGCAGCACTACAGGCTGGGGAAGAGTGGCTATTAAGGTGTCCACTAGAAAATGA